TCCTGGGCCTCAGTTTCCTCATCTGTAAAGTGGGGACAATGCTGTTAACTAGCTGGGATACTTGTGGGAGGGAGGTGAGAATTCCAGTTCGGCTTGGAGCCGTGTTGCCCTCTGGTGGCCGACATGATAACAACAGCCCGGGACTCCTGCAGGAGTGCGGGGAGGCCGCACGACCCTGGTGTTCCGGTGCCGCCGCCCAGATGAGGACCACTCTACCGCGAGGAGATGCTGGAGATTGCCCAGAAGGGGTGCTGCATGCGGTGCACACAGCCTACTCCCGCCTGCCTGGCAAGCCCAAGGTAAATGCAGCCTCGAAGCAGGTGAAGCGTTACACACACAGGCTCCAGGGTGAGCCCTGGGTCCCCACAGGCCCCTCGCCTCCCTGAGCCTTCAGCTCCTGAGCTCTGAAGTGCGGGTAGTTCACAACCATCAGGGCGATGCTGTGAAGAGCATTATGCTCTCTCTTCCAGTAGAAGCGACAAGGCTGGAGAGGTTCGGGACTAACCTAGGTCACACGCGGGTTAAGCCCACAGCTCAGCCTGCTGAAGGTGGTCAGCAGGTCCCCTGGGACACGCGACTGCCTGGGGGGAGGTGGTCCAGGCTGGCTATGCTCAAACCCAGCAAGGCTGGAGGGCGGCCGATGCTTCCACCATGGCCCTCAGACGGGCTCTGCTGCCCCCAGGCCGCGTTGCCCCCTGAGCCTGGGGTGGTCAGAATAGACTCTCAGCCCTCACACGTCTGTCCCACCAGGGCACCTTCCGGGCCCAGTGCTCTGTGCCCAGTGCTGGGGCCAGTGTGCATCCTGTGTGGAGCCGGAGCAGAGAGTTCCCGACTGACTCCTGGACCTTCTAGCTGGGGAGCCCGGGATCTGTATCCTGCAGGGACCTGATGGACAATCTGCATTGAGAGTCTCCTTTTCCAGGGTGTAGGCAGAGCCCTGGGCGGGGGGACTGCCTTTATTGATGCCTCTTTGAAGCATGGCAAATCCAGAGACAGTCTGGGAGCCCTACTGGATGGTCAGCCCCTTAAGGGCAGGACTGTGTCCAGCATTTATCTCTCTACTCCCAGCCCAGCCCCCGGGGCATCTGTGCTCCTCCTCATCCTGAGCCTGGCCCCGTGCAAGGTCCTGGCTGGGAGGGGACTCACTCCACAGCCCTGAGTGCCCTCTCCCGGCCTCTCTGAGGCCAGCAGGCCTGTCTGCAAGCCTAGTCGCCAGTGCCTGGGAACTGGACCCACCACTTCGTCTGGTTTCAGGTCTATGTTCAGGACATCCTGTGGCAGCAGCTGGCCAGCGAGGTGCTTCGTGTGCTCCACGAGGAGCCGGGCGACCTCTATGTTTGTGGGGATGTGCGCATGGCCTGGGATGTGGCCCACACCCCGAAGCAGCTGGTGGCTGCCAAGCTGAACTTGAGTGAGGAGCAGGTCGAGGACTATTTCTTTCAGCTCAAGGTTTAATAGGGGGTGTGTGGGCTGAGGGTCCTGGCCAAGGCACAGGCCATTGGAGCCAGGACCAGGGGTGGCCGGTAGACCCAGGGGAGTCAGGCCCAGAAAAGTTCTGAACCCCAAGAGAATCTTAGCAGTGGCTGAGATCTGAGCTGGGTGGGCTGTCAGAAGGCCCGGCTGCACATCCCGGACTGGTCGCAGCTTTGGGAAGTCGGGTGAATGGGTTCCATTTTGCCGTCTGTGGAATGGGGGCAGGAGAGTCTCCTTGGCCTCTCCCCAAACCCCCTTTCAGAAAGTATCTGTGTGGCCAAAGCAAGGCTGTGAACACAGGGGAGAGCAAGGCTGCCCCCCGTCAGCCTCGTGTGAACCTCACACTTCTTATTCACACCCAGGCCGGCGTCTGCTCACCCTCATCCCTGCGGCAGCAAGGGCCTGCATTTCATTGATGAAGATAATAGTGATATTTATCAAGGGTTTCCACGGGGCCAAGTGCTTGCCAGGGATTTTCATGTGGCATTTCATTCAGTCCTGCCGAGGACTTTATGAGGGAAGCACCCTGCTTTACAGAGGGAAGGAGGCCTACGGGGTCCACAGCAGTGAGAGCCTAGAGTTCAGTCTGCCTCTCTGTGGTTCCAAAGCCTGTGACTGTCACTTCCATACTCTCCCTAAGACACATTCATATGTTCAACTGAACATTTATTGAGCACTTACTATGTGTCAGGGATAGAGCAGTGAATGAAACAGGCAAAAATTCTTTACATTCTTCTGGGGCTGACAAACCCAAACAAGGAAGAGGTGTAATGCTTCAGAGAAAAACAGCAGGAAACAGCCCACGAAACGCTGGGGAGTGTAATTGTAAATAGGGTGGTCAGGGAAGGCAGAGCTGGAAGGCGGCGTCTGAGAATAAACCTGAGATAGTGAGGAGGAGCCCCGTGGATACTGAAGGAAACACTCGGGGCTGTTCTGGAGGGGGCAGCAGGTACAAAGGCCCGGGGGTGGGAGTTAAGCTGGCGTGTTGGAAGGACAGTGAGGAGATAACAGGCATTTCCCCAAATGGGTTGAATGGGTCAGTAGATATTTGGCATCAAAAAGTTCCAAGGTCGAATAGCCTGGGACATGCTTAGTTAAGCCAAGGCAAGCACGTTGCTTTACTACAAGGCTTCTGGGAGGCTTCAACCTGCTGCTGTGCGTCGGGACCCTTCAAGGCTGGGAGCAAAGCAAGGACGTAGCGTTTCCCAAACGTATTTATCTCAGAGCTCACACTTCCTGGAGCGTCTTGGGTAGGGGGTGAGCGCTGGGCAGGACATGGGAATGCCAAGTAAAGCTTTGGAGATGGTTAGAGGGCCCGCTCCAGAGCAGGTGCTGAGCGGGGTTAGGCTCTAAACCAGATTCCAGCACAATCTAAGTATGACAGTTGGGAAGACAGATGGCTCATGAAGGTCCATGTGACAGGGAAGCTGGGCAGCCCCAGGGGCTCATCCCAGCCTGGACTTGACACGTTGGTCTCTGTTTCCACTTTCATGAAGATACCTTTGGTGCTGTATTTACCTACAAGCGGACAAGGCGGCAGCGCAGCCCTGGAGCCTGCAGATGTCAGCCCTCTGACGGCCCACAGGAGGGGTTAAAACTGCCGGCACAGAACTTAACCATGGAGCCAGCTCTGCATTATCTGAGGTCACAGGGCCTGGGGAGATGGAGGAAAGTGATATCCCCCAGCGTCATGTCTTATTTCTCATCTCGTTCCCCATTAAGCCCTTTACTTGACCTCCAGTACCAAGTAGCACCCTGGATTGATCGGAGCCTCCTCTCTCAAGCTGGGGCCTCCCTGGTCCCTTGGAGACGAAATCTTCAATGCTAGACCTGGCAAGTGGGTGAAAGATGGAACCCGCTGCTGAGTGCACCACTTCAAGTGACCACCAGGAGGTGCTGTTGCACCACTATGTGTTTAACTGCCTTGTGTACAATTATTTATGCCTCTGTTTAAAAAACTAACACCCTAGTCTGTTCCCAACGGCTACTTGGGCCTTCCCTGTATGGTTCCTTGATGGAGATATTTATATGATGGAATTTTACTTTAATCACACTGTATGTGTGTGTGTGGGGTGGGATGTTTTGTAGGGAATGCGGCCCTGAGTTATATAGAGTGGGGAGCTGGTGGGTGTTGCAGCCTGAACAGATCCCCCATAGAGGGACACCCCAGGCAGGCCATGGCTCCTCTGAAATGGCTGCCAGGTGTGACAGCAGCAGATGGAGCTTCGTGCTGGTCCAAAGACCTGTGGTAGGGCGGAGGGCGCAGGCCTGCCTCCCACACAAAGAATCTGACATGGGGTCTGGTGAGAATGGGAATCTCGTACGAGGCCAGAGCTTCAGGGAAGGTCTTGAGGTTCTTCTTGGACACTGTCTTAGAAAGCATTTTGCTCTGGGGCCACCTGTCTCATGCAACTTTGGCCAGTACGGATGTGGCCCCTGGGAAGGCAGGGTATTGAGGCAAGTGTGGGTCACAGCATCCTCTCCCGACGGACTAGGGACCCTCCTGGGTTTGGAGACGGCCAGGGAAAGCTTCTCAAGACACTGGGCCCGTTTCCCTCTCCTGGTCAGAACCAAGGAAGGAGCTCAGCGGTGGCTGCTGGGGTCCTGGCAACGTGTGGCTCCCAGCTGGGGTTTGGCCTGTGCCTCCGGGGCGCCCTCGCCCGGGACCCTCCCTCTCCCCTCCTCCTTCTAGCAGCAGCGTCTCAGGTGGCAGGAGAAGGTGCAGTGCCAACTTCAGGCTCCAGACGTGCCCTGCGTGACAGCCGTGCATCTCAGCAACACGGCCAGGAGTCCGCTCCGGACCAGGGCTTCCCAGCTTTAATGTGCGCGCCTCGTCTGGAGTCCTGTGAAAACGGAGACTCTGGTCTCGCAGGCTGGGCGGGGTGCAGGATGCTGCGTTTCCAACAAGCTCCTGGGTGCTGCTGGTGCCACTGCTCTGAGGACTACGCTGGGGCCTGAGGAACTGGATTCTTGCTGGGCTGAGCAGGATGTGTTGGCATCACGTGGACACAGAGCTGGGCTGCCTGGCAGTGGCCCAGTGGCTGGCAGAACCCCACACATGGACACAGAGCCACTTTTCTCACACAAGCCCTAACCCCTAATGCCAGGGAGACCCACAGTGGAACACACACCCAGACAGTGCTTTGGATCGGCTTCTCCTGACACCCCTTCCCCAAGCCACCTCCTCCCAATGGGACGCCAGGTCTGAGGAGCCAGCTCTGGCCCTGCTGTGGCTCTGCCCCAGCCCCTCTCCCATCTCGGAAGCATGGGGCTGTTTCCTGGGGTCCCTCGTTACCGCCTTTCCTGTGTCCGAGACTCCTGCCCAAAAGTCTGGACCCCCAGCCTACTTTCTCCACCACCCTCGTGGGATTTGCGAGGGACCCTCTGGGACGAGGTGTGAGGTCAGGACCCACTGCCCAAAGGGAGTCCATGCTCTCCCGTCCCACTCCTCTCAGCAGCACCCCTGCCCGATTTCACAGACTCCAAAATGTCTCCAAATGAATTAAAGCAGCCACGGTCAACCCACATGAATGTGCCAACAAGCATTTTCATTTCTTTATTTTAAGGACACTGGGAAAGGAGCCAGTCCCCTGAAGAGAACACTCTGGTCAGTTGGTGGAGGCCAGTGGGATGCCATCGGGCCTGCTTTCCAGGAGGGGGTGAAGGGTTGGTGCAGGGAGCAAGGTGAGAGTGAGGTTAAAGGTCAGAGAGGAGGGGCTGAGGAGGCCACCTCCCACCAGGAGTAGACAGCTGGTGGCTTGGGACTGGGGTGGAGCCGCGTGGGGGATGGGAGGGGACTGAGCATGGGCCTTCATCTTCACTGCCCACTCCTCCCTCTCCCTGGCTGTGCCCGCCTCCTGGGATGGTAGGATTTGGGCAGCTGGAGCCCCAGGTGCTGCCGCGGCTGAGGAAGGCAATCCCGGTCAGCTGCCTTCTCCGTTCCAGGGTGGCTGTAGCCAGAAGTAGGACCAGACAAGGGCATGGCCTCTGCATTAAAGCCCAGATCCCAGGGAGGGTTGGAAAGGCTGGGCCTGGGACATGAGGATGATGAGAAGACCCAGACTGCCCCCCACCCCAGCCCCGGCCCCAGGGCCAGGGAGCCGCCTATGTCTGCACGTGGGTCAGCTGGATGTCGCCCCCCACTTCCAGTTTGTTGATGGCGGGCAGGTTCCTCAGGCGATGGTAATATTCAAACAGGTGCTGACCATCCACGGCCACCTTGAGGCAGTGCGTGTCACACAAGATCCACACCTGTGCAGAGATCATGCCGTTTGCACTACACTTGGGAAGTCCTCCACTCACACTGCAGCCTCCTGTCTCCCTCCCTCCTTCCCTCCCTCCCTCCTTCCCTCCTCAGACGTTAATAAGCCCCTCACCTGCGCTCCATCCCCACTAAGCGACGACGCTTCACTAAACAGGCTGTGCGTGCTCCTTCCCTTGTACTGTTCCCTGGCCTACAATACTGTTCCCACCCCATCAGGGACAGGAGCGGTGGCCTGTGGTGTCTGCATCCCTCGGGCCCAGCACACAGGAGTGCTCCGGGCCTGGGCTCCTGCAGCATCAGCCCCCTAACTGGTCTTTTCCACCCCAATGCCTTCTCCATGAGGCAGTCAGGATACAAATGTTAAAACCACCTTCCCTTCGCAATAGCTAACACTCCTATCACAACACACCATGTGCCAGGCACTGTCCTACGCATGCTACAGATACTGTCTCATTCCATTCTTACAACTCTAGGAGACTCATATGATTATCAACTCCATTTTGTAGATGAGGAAAGTGAAGCACAGAGTAGTGAAGTCACTTGCCCGAGGTCACACAGCTGTCCACAAATCAAAGAATGTTGCTCCTTGGCTTGAAACACTCCTGTGTGGCTTTTCACTGTGTTAAAATCCAAGCTCCTTTCCATGGCTGCAAAGCCCTACATCAGCCATTTTCAACTCTGATTGCAGAGTGTAATCACTTAAGGCATATTTTTAAAATGCGAATGCCCAGCTGACCGCCTTGTTGGCCTGGGCTGGGGCCCCAGCACTGATATTTCCTTTGTAAACTCCCTGGGTGGTTTGAATGTGTAGTCAGGGCGGACACGCCTGCCTGCTGTTCCTGGACAGGCCACACCCGCGCCTCTGCACGTTGGCCCTCGCTGCCCCTCCCAGGCTCGCTCTATCTCATCGCTCTGTTTTGCTTTGTGCGTGGCACTGTCGTTATCTGTGGCAATCTGTCCATGCTTTACTTTCCTTGTTCCTTCCCCACCTAAACTGTAAACTCCCTGGAGGCAGGACCCGGTCTGCCTGCTTCATGACTGCGCCCCCAGCACGCGGGCTGCTTCCTGCACAAAGCGGGCCACAGGAAAATCATTGTTGAATGAATAAGTGAAGAAATGAAAAACACCTCCTTCTTGGATCTGATTTGACACTTACTGGCTGTGTGACCACAAGCAAGTAACCTGCACTTGTGAGTTTCTTTCCTCATCTGAAAAAGCAGATTCCAACACTTCCTTCATGTGGAATAGTAATAATAATAATAATAATGATAATGATAATAATAATAATTTGTTGGCCACCTTCTCTTCTTCTGGGCCCTCATCCCAGAGGCATCTGCCCCCATCCTGTTCAAGGCACCCCAGACCTCCTTTACCCCTCCCCCTGTGCACCCGTAGGAGCCTCTCCGAGCTCCAGAGTGCGGTGCCTCACCGAGAAGCTCTGGCCTCGGACGAAGGGCATTTTTCGGGGCAGACTTCGCTCCTCAGACCCCCAACAGTTGTTGATCTGGGTGTTGCGGACCACAGCGTTCTCATCAAAACGGGGGTTCAGGTGGAAGGCGATGTGGCTCCCAGAGCACAGGTTGATGTGGAACCTGGGGTGGGCGGCCCACCTGAAGCTTTGTCCTCTGAGTTCTGAGCCCCATTTCCTCCCCGTCATCTGCAGCCTGCCCGAAGCCAGGGGAATGGCTGGAATGACCTTGAAGGGCTCTCTCTTCCCAGAGGTCACTGGAGCCCTTGCCTTACCTCTGAGCACTGGGCAGGACAGTGCCCGACAGGATGATGGACTTGGATGGATACAGTCCTCCCGGAATGGTGGTGACAAAAGGCATTGGCTGTGGGAAGAAGGGGGACAGAGCATCCAGTGGCAGCCAGGGGAGCCGCCACACGGAAGGGGAGGACTGTACCAGTTCCCATGACTCTGGGCTGTCAGCTGAGAGGAAGCCCGCAATAGCTTTACTTGGTTCCGTAAAAGCCAAAGGAAAACTTTCCAGTGCTCCTCAAATTCATGGGCTTAGATTAGTGTCACAAAAGGAACTTTGGCCAAACACAACAAGACTCGTGGGATGAAAAGGGAGGGCCATGCAATGTGCTCACATTGACATGACAGTTTTAAGGTTGAAAACTCCTCTCCACAGTCTTCTACTTCGCTGGGATGCTTTGAAGCCCTTCAGCTTACCAAAGGACCGCTTTTCATTTTGCAAGGCCAGTGGATACCCCCGCAGTGGCTCTTCACCCCCAGCCTGCCCACCACAAACAGAACCTCCGCCCTCCCTGAGAAGCCACTTACATAGGTGGGGTGGGGGTACATCATAGGTGGGAGGGCGGGAGTCTGTTGAAAAGAAACCGGGAAATTCAATGGGAGAGCATATGTGTGCACGAGCACTCACCCACGCGCACCCACGCATTCCAGAGGGGCCTCCACTGTGAGGCTGACCTCGTGAGGCTTTGGCCCTTGGACTCTTCCGTCCACCTCCCTTTTCATGTTAGCCTTCCTGGAACTTCCTGCCGTGTTCCCGGACCCCACCACGGTCACCTGCCCCTCAACCTCTCCACAGGCAGCCCCACTAACGCTAAACTCCCGGCCTGATTTGCACCATCAGGAGAAGAGCTTAAGCCTTTGATCAGGAGTGACATCCGGGGAACGCAGGATGCAGGGCCAGGAACCTCACATCCGGGTGCTGGGGCCACTGCACTCCCCACTTGGTGACAGGTGGACCAGTTTCCCTCCCGGTCTCTAGGGAACCTGCCTCTTCCACCACTGGATAAATCCTGCTTCTTCCAGAATCTCTGCTGTCCCAAGAACAGCTTTAGCCACATGTCACCTGAGCCAAGGACTCAGCCCCAGATGTCCCCATCCTCCTTGCTAAACCGCTTTCTTCCTGACTCTAGGGCTCTAGGGAGTTTAGTTCTTGGTGAAGGAGGACACTGTGCAGCTGTGAACTGGCCAGAACTTGTAGACTTACAGAGAACATCTGTCCAGGGGCGCTCTGCACCGTGTGGATGACTGTCTGGGTCTGGAGGAAAGAAACCAGGTCTCACCCAGGCTCTCCCATGTGAAGACCACCAGCTCCCACCAGAGGGCGCCACACGGCAGGCACCTCCAGGGGGCGTAATCAGCCCAATGGCCCCACAGACCCCACAGAGGGTGGGTCCAGCTGTTTCTTCTCTCAAGGGGATAAGGGAGGGCAAAGGTTAGAACCCCGGAGAAGACAGATGGGGACGCTGGTGGCTCTGGCCCATCTTTCCTCTCAGGGAAACGTCTCTCAGCCTAACCTCCCTTTGCAGGTGGGAGAAGGGAATGTGGGACACGGTCTTCCGTGGCTGCCCACAGGCTGGCAACTCAGGTTGTTTCATCACGGCCAGCCAACCACATCCAACCCCCCACCTCGCCAGGCCGGGCAGACGGTCAAGGGCCTGGCCTCTGCCCTCTCCACTCCCAATGGGAGAGGCCCAATGCCTGGCCCCGCCTCCTCCATGAGCCCAGAAGAGCCAAAATGAAGAGGATCCAAAAAGAAAGCAAGAGACTTACAATGGGAGCCGGGTTGGCAGGCCGCACGCCGGGAGGCTGGAGGGGTGAGGAGAGTCAGAACGGTGGTTATCGCGGGCACCACAGAACGGGAAGAGACGATGGCAGAACTCCAGGGAGGCTCTTGTGCTCAGAAATGCCTCCCCAGATACACCCGCCTCCCTCTTGCTCCCAAGCAAGCCTTCCTGAGCCCGTGGCCCCCAGATTTTTACCCCCAGGTGCACAGGGCTGTGGGGTTGGGGGTAGGGTATCTCCATTGGTTCCTCTCGAGAGAGAGGAGGCTGGGTTTGCTGGAGTCCTCACTGCTTTCTGTAGCTCCCACAGCCAAGAGCGTTACTTTCAGTGCTATATTTCACCCGTAAGGTGAGAAGGGGTATTTGTTGAAGGCCTACTGTGGGTCGATTCCTGGGCTTCAGTGCTTTCCAATGAGGGAAGCAGCCTCAGCTCCTGTGTCCCTGGTGAGGCAATGAGGCTCAGAAAGATTAGCTACTTGCCCAAGCTCGCCCAGGTAGAAGGGACCAAATCCAAAACGGCAGCCAGTTCTGTCTGACTGTATCCAGCACACTTTCTATCACCCCCAGGGTCAGGGCCAGGGTCAAAGTTGGGCTGCCCTGCAAAAGTTCCCTGGGGCTTGACCAGTCCTGAAGTCAGCGTGGCAGGTGGCAGGTGCCCTGTCTGTACCGTGATGGGCCATAGAAAGACTGTGTAGACCAAGTGCCCCTCCTCCCAGTCCCCACTGCTTGAGTGGCCAGAGGAAGGGCTGCTCGCCTCCTTATCCTGGATCCTGCCCCACCCAGTAGACTGTTCTTGCCCTGGCTGGTATCCCATTCTTCCTGGCTGTGAGAACCACATTCCACATTCATTCATTCACTGAGACTCTACTGAGTGCCAGGCACTGTGCAAATGAACAAGCCACGGTCCTAGCCCTCTGGGGCCTCTTGGGCATAGGGAGATGGGGGTGGAGTGATGGGGACAGACGCGCAAACACAGTTACAATGAGGTGCTGTGAACTGGCATGGCACAGATATGTACAGACTCCATGGGGACATGGCGGGAGTGTCCAACAATATTCTGGGCAGGGAGGACTCCCAGAGGAGAGACACTTAGGCAGAGCATGGAAGGGCAATTAGGCGTGTGCTGGGGACAGGCTGGCAGAGGGTGCTTCCGGGACCAGGGACAGCATATGCAAAAGTATGGTGGCCCGAGAGGGCCTTGAGTGAGCTGCAGAGGCTGCGTGAGCTTCGTGGGTTGCGGGTGAGGCAGGGAGGTTGACTGGGGCCAGACTCGGGAGGAATCTGTATGCCCTGCTGGGGAATTTGGGCTTTATTTGAAGGGCTTGGGGCTGTTAAGATTTTTAAGCAGGGAGAGGGTGTGATCAGATTTGCTTATAAGAAGGTCACTGCGGCAGTGGTTGGGTGTAGGGGGTGGGGAACTGGACCCCTGTCGTCATGGTGAGGAATCCCAGAGGGCTGGGCCACGTTGGTGACTTTGGGAGGGAGATACAGTGGTGCCTTGGAGAGACATGAAGAAGGGGGAGTGAAGAATCCAGGGTGACTCCCAGGTCCCCAGCTCTGGGTGCCCAGCAGACAGAGACAGGGAACTCTTGAGTGGGCACGATGGTGCCTGTAGGCCCTGGTGTCCTGCTGGCTGGGGCCGGCCTCTCAGACCCTGGGTCCTTCCTGCTGTCTGCTCAGCCACCCAGGGCCTCTGTGTTGAACTCACTTTTTGTCTGCGCCCCCTGGGCCTGGGTGGGAAACAGACAGGCTGGGAGAACGGCACCATGGAGAAGGCGGGCTGAACAGGGACTGTGCGGGGGTTCTGTTAAAACAAAAGGCATTGGGTGGTAAGGAGAAGCATTAATGGAGCCAAGAAGAAGCTGAAAGGCAGAGGCAGGGGCAAGAGGGAGAGACCAGGCAGGCAGGGGGATGCGGCAAGGGGGTTAGGGCCACGCCGAGGCGGGAGGGGAAAGGGCCACGCCAAGGCGGGAGGGGAAAGGGCCAGGCTCCAGTGAGCAGCACAGGGGGGCAGTCTCCCTCCAGCTCTTCCCTCCCCTTCCACCTGCAGGGGAGAGAGTCAGGGAAGGAGGGAATGAGAGATGAGGACCAAAGGGTGAGGAGCCCAGATTTGCTGAGGGCCTACTGCGCACTTCGCTCATCTCAGGGAGCTCCCTTGAATGCCAAAAGGGTAACAGCAGCTCCCATCCAGCTGCCGGTGCCCTGTGGGAATATGGGCCCAGCATACCCTCATCTTCCCGTTTTTCATGTGGTATTGGTATCTCCTGACCTTCTTTAGTTTTATTTATTTTATTTTGTTATTCAAACTAGAAGTTTTTAGAGATGGGGTCTTGCTGTGTTGTCCAGGCAGAACTAATTCCTGGGCTCAAGTGATTCTCCTGCCTCAGCCTCTTGGGTAGCCAGGATTGCAGACCTCCACCACCGTACCCGGCTCTCCTGACCTTTCAGATGTTGGCAACACATTCAAAGTCTTTAAAACACAGAGGTCAAACAGACCCTGGTGTGGGCCCAGGGGGCCATTGTGTGACCTCTGATATCTGTCTCCTCACTGAACCACAC